AAAAATTCATCACTTTTTTCAAAATGAAACACCCTAATGTACATACTTGGGAAAATCTTCATGAAAACAGCAAAACGTAACAAAACATTGAGGTACATGTTTTGAAAATTTATTAAGCATCCCCTTGGATCCCCCTATGAATTGTATATGAAACAGTAGGGTATGAGTTGTTGAATGAAATGACGTTGTCATTAGCTGCTAATACCTGCTAACCTGCAAGGTACACCCTCTTAAAGATAGTGTAAAAAAATTGTAAAAACTGTCGTAAATCCTTTCAAAAAAGAGATAGCGATTTAATGTCTCCTACAGAAATGTGGATTTTATAAGCAGTTACAACTTTGTAGAATATGAATACTAGGCTACCCAAGTAACAAATGAACCAAACAACGTGCCAATGGTCATTAGGGTATGTGCTGATATGAAACATCATTCTCTATGTAAGAGAAGAGCTTCTCTTTTTTTATAGTCACTTTAAAGCTCTTGGGTCATTCGTGACTTGTCTGGGGGTGAGATTGGAATTCGTGACTTTGGCGTGAGAGGTATGGATGCTAACCACTACACTGGGGTCGCCCCCTCGAGAAGAGCTTCGTTTGGGGCACTCCTTTCGCACCACCTCTACAAGTTCTTTCCAATACTTCTAAAAGACCCGCTATCATCTCTCCTACGTAGTACGTAGTAGTGGTCCATGTTTTGTTCTGAATTTCCATCTAAGCGATCCTAAATTCCTCTCAGTGGAAATTTGCACAAGTTTGCTCCTTAAATCGCATGGAAGATCTTCAAAATTCCTTTCCAGGACCTAGGTACTAACAGAATGGATCTCGAGAGCAAGTTGAGAAGTTCATAATGGCTAAGTCCAAACGTGAATTAATCTATTAGTCACAAATCAATTTGCGATTATTTTTCTCGATCAACAAGCAAAACCAGGCAAAATAGCGAATAAAAAATACCAGCTTTTATCCTCTCTGAATTACATTACACTTTGCATAGGGTGAGTGTAACAGGTATGGCTATACATTCATATTATAGTGTGTTCTAATCATGGCATATGGGAATCCTATAGGCAATAATTGGAACACGCCATAATAGAAACGTATATCCATGACAGGTTCACCTACCTTAGTTGTTTGTTATGAGCTATAATTCAAAATTTATCTGTAATTCGACCATTTTGATTCACACCTGATTGATCAAAACGGTGTTTTGTGTATTTTTGAATAAATCATAGCACGTGATGGGCCATTTTGTCGAGTGCCAATAGGCTGAATACCATTAGGCCGAACGTCATTAGGTCGAATGTCATTACGCCGAACGTCATTAGGTCGAATGCCTTTAGGCTTAATGTGTCACTAGGCCGTAAATGGTATCCAATATCCAAAAAATATAACACCGGATAAAACTCCACCCGCAAACAAAGGTACCTCTTTATAGCTTGTCCAAGATGCCTAAAATCAATGAAAGAATAATCCGTTGATCATTTTTGAAGCTCGAAAAACTGTTCATGTTTTAAAGAAGGAGATATCTACTATGAAATATCATTGGCTAAAGTGTTCCTTCATGTGAAATCTCGGAAATTTACCCAAATTTTGGTCTTTTTTGTAATTTTTCAAAGTTCCAGAACCATAAACCCAGCAATTGAATAAAATTAACAAAAATTTAGGATCCTATTTTTGCATTGCATCTCTTAATTTTTAGCTCGTTATATCTTATTGTTGGCTTTTTTCAAGTCTTACATTTTTTTTTCGAATGAGATTTAAACATATTTCCCGGTAATATTTTTCAATTCCACATTTTATAATGTCTTCTATGTCTACTTAAGGGGACAGGACTTCTAAATTCTTCCTATGAATTTTCTAACTTCATGGTTTAGAATTTTAAAATGCGGCCTAACTAGTCATTCGGCTTAATGGTCTTTGGCCTAATGGCTCTCAGAGGTAAGATAAAGTTGTAGTATAACCAGTGAATCCAAACACATAAAGCAACCAACGATACAGGCAAAACGGTTTCTACGACTACCATGACAAACTCGCTCTGTACCATGGCTCGATCAGAGTGGCAGAAGGATAATGATAAATTGCTTGCCTGCTTTGTTGCAATATACACGGATGAGGACATAGCTTGATTTGAATCGAGAAAAGACATAACTAAAAAATTCCCATTAACACACGTGTATCATCTTCGGCTTAACTTCGTTAAGCAGCTTGCCAACAATTTGCTCGTTTCTTTTCTACCTCCCAAATGAGCTGTGTCGTACATGCTACTTGTCATGATAAAAAGGAAGAAGATTATATCATTTTTGCTTTCCACTTCTGACATAGCATTATCATTCGGTTCGTTGCTCACTTGTCATTTTGCCATTTTGAGATATTTTTGATTCCTTGAGGATAACAGATGGTCGTTTCTAAAAAAATCACACAATAAAAACCCAAATTTTTATTAAAAAAAAAACAGTAAAACTGCAATAGCCAGAAAAGCATATTTTAAATATTTTTAAACTCATGCTTATTTTAAAGCTTATCAAAAATGCTATTTTTTCTGAAATTAACAAAATGGTAACTTCATGGACAAAAACATATGAAACATGAAATTTTAGTAAAATTTTGGAAAACAAAATGTTTTTAAAAACTTTGGTAACTTTTGCAGTGAAAACAATTCTTTAGACATAAGAAATTGTTTTCTGCAAAACAACAACAATACGATGCAAATTACGCAAAAAAGAATATAAAACAAAATGTTTGTAAAAGTTGGTCGCTTACACTTTTTGATAACCTTACAGTTACCATTTTAAAAAAGTTCGGAAGATTTTTTTTCATTTCCTTATCCGTGACCGGACACCCGCTTAAACTGCCTCAGCTATCTGTAGTCCCATTGCAAATTCTGTCCGACTTGCTGAATTACAAGAAGCTGCTTTGAAAATGTTGATTTTAGGAAGGTTTGCTCATTTCAATGCATAATTAAATAACAGTCAAATTCAATTTCCAATCAGTCTCATCAAAGCACCCTAATTTTCCTGCACTAATAATCTATCCTTCCGGGTATCGCTTTCTTTGTAGCGAATCAACTGAATCCCGAACATCTCTATTGATTAGCTCGAACAAAAACGTAATCACCTACGGGTCTGTCTCTTGACCAACTCCACTTCTTCCACACCAGTTACATATACAGTGCATCGCAAAATTGAACGTACACCCTAATGGATTTGTTTTTTAAACATTGTAAATAGATATATATTTTTTTAAATCTTGGCTGGTGGTTTAACAGATATATATTGATTTTTTGCTATAGTTTTGGACTTTATTGGAAGAACTTGTATGAAGTGAGAATTATTTTAGTAAAGCGCTTGACATTTAACTAACACGTGGACACGTTTTAGCAAAATTAGTGGAATATTAATGATCTTTATTATGACTAAAAATGAGCAAAATTTCAAAAAGTTTAGTTCATTGCATTTCAAGAGATTAAGGTATTCCAAGAAAAAAAGCGTTTTTCTGAAATAGCTCTTACTTTTAATAAACGCAACCAAGTAAGCCCAATACTGTACCAATAATTGATAAATGGCAGCTTCAGTAGCCCAAAATTCAGAAACGTATCTTTTTAAATTGGGCTTTTACACCTGTTTTTTTAAAATTTAATGAGATCTGTCCGCTCAATTTTGAGACACACTGTATATGATGTTTGTCGCTTCTCCATCAAAGTGGATTTTCCTCACGTTACCTTCCTTCCTTCGGAACCACCTCAAGTTGAACCGTGCTTAGTTTACATCAAAAGATAAGTTTCCAGATAAAAGGATTTTCCTTTTCTTTCATGTGTATCTCTACGCGTGTATATCGTTAGTTTGCTTTGAGCTCTTTTGTTTGCAGAGCCAGTCAGTAGTGGTGTGCTCCGAAAAAGAGGTCAAACAATAGCCACTATAAGACTACTAGGAGCTTAATCAAAGCGAACGGTTTCGGATGGTGAGGGAAAATCGATTCGATGCGGGGCTGAGGAGTGTCATTTCAGCTGATCGATCGCATTTGGTTGATTATGTTAATTGGTATATGGAAATATGTTTTTGGATTAGAATGAAAAAGATTATCTTGCTCATTGTGAATGGTACCTAGTTTTATATTTTTCGGCAAAACAGTTCCTCGAATCTCTTGTGACCCAATTTCATGCCTGTCAATCGGGTCATCCACTCGCACTCTAAACTTGTAAATTACAGCCCCAATTTTGGGTACGTGGATCGTGATTCAATTAACTCGTTTAATCCTCACCACAACGGACTGGTTCCTCTAAATACATAACCCTCGTCAGCGGTACTTCTTCCTAGCCAAACAACATACATATACAGAAGCGGTCAAGTGAAATAGCAAAACATACGGAAAACTCACTCCAAACGTGGATGAAAGGGATTAAAATTAGCACACAACTTGAGCTTCGGGGCAATTGAAACACTACGGGTGCGAGGTCACAATCTCTATGGTTCCGTTTTCTGTTCTGGGAAAGATGGACTCGGACGACGGTTTGAAATGTTGGAATCAATCGCCTCAGATCCTGGGAAGGAATGTGGGTGGAATGCTGTGGCAAATCCTGTCCCTTCGTTAAGCAATGGGTTAGAGACATTATAGACGATGGAACCCGAATCACGACTCACGCTGATTCGGTTCAGTACAGTAGATATGATCTTCTTGTGAATGGACGCTTGAAACAAAAAAAAAAAACGTAAAAATCTTAGAACTTCACCACACAGCCAAAACAAAGGGAAGATTACCCTTTCAGCATAGCAAAAAAGGGGGAAGACATTGTCCAGTCTGTTTTTGACTTCCGAGAACAAGGGTGGCGCAATCCCGTAAAGAGACCGCCGGGTCAACACCATCAACCGGTAGGTGATGATGACGATGATGAAAAGGAACAAATCAGACCAGAAACCCAAACCAGTAAACCCAAACAACAAAACCGGTAGGGGCCAGTAGGGGTTGAGGAGTGGAGAACAAGGGGGAAACCCACACAGACTATATTACCACCTATGGATGTTGAGACTTTCGAGCAGCAGATCCCAGTAATCGTTTCTGGAAAATACAAAGGTTTGGGAGCAATGGAGTGGATAGGTTGGAATAAAAGAAAAATGAAAAAAAAAAAGAATGAATATATAATAAGATACAGTGAACGAGGATAACGCGAACATTAGGACGGTGTCAGACTTGTGGAAGGATTTCAGAAACATGTATTGTTTGACGGATTTGATTCGCTGTTGAGTTGTCATTTTGTACTACAGGACTTACCAAACATGCTTGTTAAGTGCCCTTTTTTGCTACATTGCTCTAAAAAATCGTTGGGATGCTTTATATTTGCCATATATCAGCCATATAATTTTGAATCAGTTTCTATTCCATGGTGAATGCGATTTTTCAAATTACTAACACAGTTTATTATGGTTATAGGTACTCTAGTTTAACATGATTAACGACACCAAGTCAAATAACCGTGGCAACGAAAAATAAGACAACACATTTAATTTCTCGACCAACAATTGAAAAGGGCCTGTATAATCTTCTTTTGGAGCGAACCGAAGCTTACTTATGCAAACCAACAACACCATTGAGTAGGGGAAATAGTCGCCAATATGGTTGGTAAATGTCATTTTCAATCCAAGATCTCACGTGATTTGTACAGATATACTTCTGTCACTACCTTTGGATTAGACAATGGACAACACACCCAGTAAACCAGAAATGAAGCGGAGGAATCGAACCCTCACGACCGCACGGCCATGAAACCCACCCTCAATCGAATAGGCTTGCATTGCCTGGTGCCGTCTCTCTTGCTTACTCTTCGACGAGTTCCAGCGATTTGCCAACAAGGCCAAAACACTCACCCATAAGTCACTAATAGGTCATCACCCTTAACTTAATCACTATCACCCAACTACACCCCCTCGTCTCTAAGCTATTCATCGTCACAAACCAACGGTGCAGCGTATATTCCAACATCTTCATATTCACCCATAAGCACGTACTTTCTAACCTTCCCCAACTATTCACCATATTTCCTCTGCATACCGAGTAGAAAAACCTACTTTTTTATAAGTTTAATCGTTCAATCCATTTCCCATAAAGTCCGTCATATTCTCCAGCATTTACCAATGCAAAAAATTTGACAAATATCATAGATGTTATGGAAAACTCAGATGAGCTCAACGAACTTCAAATAGCTTCAGTAGAGTTCTCTAAATTTCACTAAACATCTCAAAACTGTTCTGCAAGCATCATAGAAGATTATAGAGATGTTCAGATAACAAAGCTCCACGGATTCAATAAAGCCTAAAGCTGCTCAAAGAGGAACAACATGGCATTTCCTCAGTTTTTTGCACATTAAAGTTGGTTGCACAAGAGCGCATGTTTTTTTTTTTTTTTTTGTTCTTGTTACTTTAACACTCTTGGGTCATTCGTGACTTATCCGGGGTCGCCCCCATATAGCGCATAGTATTGAAAACTGAATGATGTTGGAAATCAATTTTTTCTCTTTTTCTGCTCTAAGGTTGATCCATCCCTGGCCACTAGAACGAGCGCTATTTTGATAAATGAGAGATTGTTTTTAAAACATTGAAACCAATTTAGACCCAGGTAGAAAAAATCTAGATTTCAGTGAAGTTTTGAGGTTAATTCCAATGGAATTGATAGGATATTCTGAGGAACATTCCAAGGGAATGTTTCAAGGGGATTCCAAGGATAATTCCAAAGAAATTCTTATGATAAGTTCAAAACATTCTAAGGAGAAATTAAAAAAGAAAATCTGCAAGCATTGCAAGGGAATTCCGATGAAAATTTCAGAGCCGTTATGACAGAACACTTTAATATATTTTTGGTCATTCGTGACTTGTCCGGGGATGAGCTTGAAATTCGTCACCTTTGCGTGCGATACCTGGATCAGTGCAATCAGTGCCGAACGCAGGACTTTTCTCAGGTGGTGAACTCTCAGATTTGCGCCCTTCCCTCTGAACCCCTTCACTTTTACGATGCCCTGAACATATTCCATAGCGGTAGCGTAAAATATAAGGAGATACCGCAACCAATTCTCACTATAATACCTGTTTCCCTGATATGAAGTGTGAGTTATTCAGCGCAGGGACGCCAGGTGTATTTAGAAAAAATCTTCAACGAAATAGACGAGATGTATTCATATCCCAAGTAACAATTCTGGTTTTATGAAGGTTTTGAAGACCATGATTTAGACTTGTAGAATGCTGTAAAACCTCTATAAAACTTGCAATGTTACTTGGGATGTCTTCATCGCTACTATTAAAAATTATCGGCGGAGAATGGTGTTCAATATTTCAGATTAATAAAACTGAGTCTACCGAGAAGTTCAGGTACCTTCTCAGAAGTCAAGTGCAATACGCAAAAGTTCAGAGAACATCATTTGGCTTAAAAACGGTCGTAGAAGCTAGAATCTCAGAAATTTTCTTAGGGGGCGACCCCGGCGTAGTGAATAGCATCCATACCTCTCACGCCATAGTCACGAGTTCAAATCTCGCTCCCGGACAAGTCACGAATGACCCAAGAGAGTTAAAGTGACATTAATAAAAAAAATCTTCTTAAATAAAAGTTAAGCAAACATTGCTGAATTTCAAGTTCGTAGATTTTCACGAAACATCGCTTGAAAAGTTTGTTATAGTTAATTGAACTGAGTAGAAGTTCTAGAAAATTTTTAGAAGTGCAGCCATTTTTTAGAAGACTAGTTGACTTTTGAAAGCACAGCAAAATTTGTACAAGCTCATTGAACTTCATAAAACTTCAGGGAATTGTATATTTGCATGTTTTGTTAAAATTCAGAAAATTTTGTAGAACTTCATTAAACATTGTAAAACATTTGCGAAAATAAGATAAATTTGGCGAATATTGAAGGAATTCGTGGAACTTTGCTGAAGTTCAGGGATTTATTTTTTACTTCTTTACATTTTTTCAACTTTAGGGTCTATTAAGATGTCTAGGGGACATCTAAGATATTCAACAAATTCAATATAAATTCGAAGAACTACTCAAGACAGAATTTCGAAGAAATTCAGGGTCCTTTGTAAAAATTCGGGAAAACTTTAAAAAATTGGGAACTTTATACAAGTTTGGTCAACTTCGTTGAATTTAGGTAACAATTTCCTGTTCAACAGCTGTATACAGGTCTGAAGAGATTTCTTGCGATTTGTTCGTTGTTGTAGTTTTTCGTTGTTTGGTTTTACTCCAAGGCGGACTGCTTGGGAATTTCAGTCCACAATTTCTGTCCTGAAGCGTGTAGATTTTGTGTTTGGAGGAGAACTTGACCTGTGATGACCAGTGCTCGGAATTTTTTTCTCAAATTTAATTAATTGAGCCTCGCTGCGTGAATAAACTCGCTTACGAATGCGGCAAACAAAATTCACGGTTGAGATTGTCACATGCATATTCATGTACTCACACTCACAAAACCGAACATTCCAGCTTTTAACTCATAAAAACTTTTTAAACCTCAATTGATAGCATGATTAAGCATGTTTGGTTCACCAACCTCTGATGTACAAACAATAGTAATAACAATTAAAAGCGCCGACATATAAAACAATGAGTTTTTGAACCTGAAAACTCACCGGTCATTTTTGTGAGAGTAGGCTGTGCGTGTGTTCGAACCTGACGTTTGTTTTTTTCCGTGGAGTTTTTTTATATCTATAATCTGCTGATCTGGCCATAACCAGGCCCAGGAGGCCATTTCTAGTTCCTCATTCTAAGTCCCTATTATTTGCCGCTGATAAGCTGTTCCGACGCCAAGTAGAACCTCCACGAGGCGTCCCATAATTCATCCCATTATTCGTCCCATCATTCGTCCCATCATTAGTTCCATCATTCGTTGAGTCGCAGCGTTGAACCTGACTATTGGCCACGAAAAGGCTTGCCAATGCACATAACAAATCGACTACATACATCCGAACATTTGTTTATCTCAAATCAAAGGAAGACATTCCGCGCCAGTGCGCAAAACAGTCAGGTTCATTGAGTCATTTTGATATGAATATGAACTGCCATCTGCCTCATCATTCGCTGCTTCGTGAGAGTCTGAAAGATTGAGAGGTAAACGAGTCACTGATAGCCGAGAACTCAGTCAGTAGCTCAGTCAACACATTTATTCTGCCGTGATGGTACCCAATATTTGTTTTGAATGACTGATCGTACATTTTCTATGGAAAAATGACTCAATTACATGCTGTGTGAGCGAAGGCAAGCGGTGTGCGTCGCCTGCTCGTGAGTGACTGAATGTTTTTGTTGGCTCTTTCATTGCCTCGTCTTTTACCGTTTGGTACAAACGGTCTGCACAGAGCAATGGATTGAATCAAGACGGTTTTATGACAGGTGGGCAGGAACTTACGGTCTCCCAGTGTTGGTGAGTTCTTTGCCGTTAATGTTCACGAAAAGTTCACTATTTTGCCATACAGAAATTCAAAACAAAAAATTTTGTCTGCGGCTTTGGACTGTTTTTGATCTGTTTCGTACGACCGGAAGGTGTATGCTGGTCACAAATGCCGTGCCAAACTGATTTCCTACTCAATTAATCAATCTTTGATGTGAATTTCGCTAATAAACACGAGGAGCATTCAAAGTGTTTTTATGTTACTTCATACGCGAAGTTAACGATTTTCAGAGTTGGTTGGAAATGCTAACATGAAGCTTTAGTGTGATGATTTATTAGCTAGAGAATGATCTTTAGAAGAGGGTAGGTGGATAGTTCCGTTAGAGTACGGCAGTATGAAAATTGAATAGAAGTTGAAAATGAGCGAAGGGCCATTAATGCGACAGTTTTAAGATCGACGCACATTTTTGCCTAACCCGTACGATGTACGCGGGGACTTGAAGTATGTCTCCAAGTCCACAGGCAAAAATGTGCGTCCCTCTTTTTGCTCATAAACTGACTGCGGCTGTGGAATAGTTCTAGCGACGTTTTCATCACTACCTAAAGCCCCACGTTGCGAGAGCATTTCCAGTCGATGGTGTGTTATAATGCAGTTCTTCTTTACCCAACTATTGTGTTGCTCCTCTCGTCATGACCAACGTGATCATCTCAGAGAGGAGGCAGTAGGGTGGTTGTTGCGTGCTGTACCATCATCAGCATTGTTGACGGCTACTCCCGCCTTGAGTTGTTACATTCAAAGTGTTTTTATGTTACTTCATACGCGAAGTTAACGATTTTCAGAGTTGGTTGGAAATGCTAACATGAAGCTTTAGTGGGATGATTTATTAGCTAGTCGATCTTAAAACTGTCGCATTAATGGCCCTTCGCTCATTTTCAACTTCTATTCAATTTTCATACTGCCGTACTCTAACGGAACTATCCACCTACCCTCTTCTAAAGATCATTCTCTAGCTAATAAATCATCACACTAAAGCTTCATGTTAGCATTTCCAACCAACTACGAGGAGCATTTCTTATAGCAAACTTGCCATAACAAAATGGGCATGGTTCATTTATGTAAACAAACTAACACTTTTTCCGACTGTGGCACCTATGTATTAGGCGCCGAGGGATTGAATAGTGCAGTGCTTTCACACTCAGCCTAGGCAGTCAATAATTTTACGCTCTGTTCCGCGCAACTACCATAAACCGGACTAGTTCATGTTGATCTTCGTCAAGCTTCGTCTACAATTTGGTCTTCTACATCAACACTAACTTGCAGCCTTCAGGTTCAATTGGCTAAACTTGGGGAGGTCGTTCCATTTTGTACATTTTTATCTTTTCAAACCAGTAACGTTGGCAGATCACCTTTTTGTGGTGCGTTACTGGTATAAGATCTACCACCGAACCCTAGTCGTGACAACTTCAAACTAGGGAATCAGGATTTTACTTGTTACTTTTTATGACTTCATAATAGTGACAAGACTCGGATAGTGACCACCCGTTCTGCATTTCTATATTGTATATTTCAAATCAAAAATATTGTTAATGTTCATACAATGTTCCCTTTGTCCTTCTCCTTTTCATTTCCCTCTTCTCTTTTCAGAAAGCGAGTAATGGCGCTATAGCCATAAGTCATAAAAGACTAGGACAAGAATTAGTGCTCATGGCCTTACCGTCAGAAGAAAATGAAGCATCACCTAACCTTTCTAGCTTTGATGCTTCCAAGGACCAACCAATCATATAATTACCAAAATCGTAACATACGGTACGAGATGTCCACGTTTCATCCATTTATTGGATTCTGTAGCATGGTGTTTAAATCTTCGATTTAAACAGGTCCGATGTTTTCTGAATCATCTTACCCCTTAAATGCTGCACAGTAGGCCTGGCCGTTTTGATATTTGTGACGCATCTTCAATGTGAAACATATATCAAATAGACTAGAAAAATGATGTAGGTATATATATCATTTTCCAGGATGTTTTCAAGAACTGGCTATGTTGGTGTTAGATAAGATTAGACTGAAAACTCATCGGTGATTTTTGCGACGTTGAATTTTGGAAGGCAAAACTCATAGGCGTTTTTGAGTTTTTCCGACTGATCGAGAATAGGTCGCCACAATGCCGCTCCGGTAGAAAGACGGTTTCCTAATAACTTCCTTTCGGTTAGAGTTAGTACCTTGAACTTCGTAGAAGTTCAGTCACAATTATGGAAGCTCAGTTAACTTGGTAGAAATGTAAGGAATTTTGTAGAAGCTCAGGAAGTATTGTAAAAGTTCAGCATACTTCTTAGAACTTCAGGGTTTGATTTGGGAACTTTGTTTCGTCCAGATGTTTAGGAAGATTCGTGAAAAAATGTTCATGGTCTTTCCTGAAGTTTGGAGAAGGTCATGGATGACCTAAGATCTTGGTCAAATTGAGTGAAATTGGAATACAAATAATTGTGGAAGTGGGAAAAAGTTGATGGAACTTCGTAGAAACTGTGCACATTTTTAAGAAGTAAAGATAGGGAAACATTGTAGATGTCCAAGGAAAATTGAAGCAATTTTTCCGCCCTTCTTGAAATTTTTGCCATCTTTGCCACCTACTGAGTACGGTGCTGACTGGCAATTATAATGAATTGTGGTTGAAATGTGCATGGAAATTAGTATGGGAAAACCTACTTGTTTTGCATTTTCATTTATAGGGAACACAATTTTGCTTTAACCATTCAACTAATCGTGTTAAATTATAGTTCAGAAAATGCCTAACAACTTTGTAAAAAAAAAAACGTGCGGTGTTAGAATATCGCTAAAAAGTATTATAGCTGTGCAAAGATCGATATTTCTTATTTAAATTTAAAAAAAAATAACTTTTCCTGCCAACACTGCCGGTTAGTGAAATCTCATACGCGTAGTTTGAGAGGGGGGGGCGGCTTACTACACCATCCCTCGCCCCCTCACTCATATCAATGAAAGTAAAGTTTCAAACTGAAATAACTTCGGTGTTTCTCATCTTGCCGAGTTGGGTTCAGATGTGTGATTCAAAAATATTTGCTCAATCTAATAGCCAACCCCCTATAGTAAGCCCCCTCTCTTACTACGCTTATGATTTTGAACTATTGTTTTGGAATAATTTATCTCATCAAACAAAACCGATAAGAAAAGAAAATTCGAAATTTTTTCTGTTTGGCATCTGACTTTCATTGGTACACTGTCAGTGTTGGCAGGAAAAGTTATTTTTGGCATTTAATTCAAACCATAAATATTTTAACTTTTATAACATTTTTTAAAACATCAAAGCACCGTAGTTTTTGCGACAAAATTGTTAGGCACTTCCTAAAATATATTTTTACATTGTAAGTTGCACGGGTCAAGCAAGCTCTATTGATGAAAGTGCAAAACAGTAGGTTTTTCCACACTAATTTCCATTCGAAATTCAAACGCAATGTGGAAAGCCGGGTTGCAACCAAGCGTCCCCAAATTTAGCACATTTGTTTTGGACTTCAAATGGAACCAAAAAAAGGGGTGTTCTCGTTTGATGTGGTAAACTTTGCGCTTTTCCATATAACGGTAACCAACTCTAGTATATTTGTGTGCAGCACTTGGTCAAAGTAAAAGTTTGATACATTTTTGTACAGAAGTCAACTCAATTTTCAGTCTTCTTGCTCCTAATAGTATTCTCAATCTAATTCCGAGGATTATTAAAAAAAATCCCTTGATTTATTTTCCGTGCTGAGCACCAATGCTACCGACGCCAGGGAGGTAGCTCCCACACCTGGACCCTGCCTATCGACCCATCAACTTATGAACCGGGGACCAACGGCTTTACTTTTCTTCCGAAAGAAGGCGTGATCAGAGTTGTTATGACTCAGAACATCCCGGCGGCGCCGACTTGGATTGAATCCAGGCCTGCTGGGGTGAGAGGTAATCACACTTACCACTGCACAACGGCACCGCTAGTCAAAGTTGGGCTAGTTTGAAATTGTTGACAAGCAAATTATTAGTTTCGTGGCATTTCCCATACATTTTTCCATACAAAATTAAAAATTCTTGCGCCAATCCAGATCATACCCAAATTCATTCAAACTTTTAACAGATGTTTGGTGCCTCAATATGCTTCGAAAGAGCAGTGGTGAGCAGGGGGTTGTAATGTTGACCCAGCCAACTGCAAACATCAGCACAATTTTTCTAATTTTCTAGCCTGTATGAACTGAAAAAAAAACTCGGAGAACGTCTAAAAAAAACATTATACAACTTAATGAATTTGTTTGATAACTTTATTTTTAAAGTATGAAAAATGATAATTCAGTGTTGACATTAGTTTCAAGAATTACAAGATCCATAATCGCTAAAGATGTGGATTATTCATACCGTATTACTCAAAATATCCTAACCGTTTTTGGCTTCCTTCACATTCCGACACCGTCATAGGGGATGGTCATAAACTACGTAGACAGTTTAGAGGGGAGAGTTTGGTGAGTTCCTACTGTTTACGCAAGGTGGAAGAGACTTGAAGTATCTTAAAAACTGTCCACGTTGTTTATAGACAACCCCTTTCGAAAAAAAACTCATCAAAACAATATGGGAAAGTAAAAAGATTTCTAATACCCTGTTTCCATATGTGCTGGTTCACACTGCTGAGTAATCCGATCAAGTTTGTGCCAGAAATCGTAAATCAGCACCGAATAACAGTTAACATCATGCTAATCACCATGAGTTTTGCAAACGACAGGCTCACCAGCACGTGAATCAGCACAAGTGTAAACCCCCTTTCACACAACAAACACACGATTGGGAATGATGCCGGAGGGATTCGTTCTCGTTCAGTCCCAACAGCTTATTTAGAATGACATTTTCAGTTACACACTTCCCTAATAAAATGGTTATTTTGCCTAACGACGTATTAAGGGTATCATCCAAACCATTTATGGAATAGTTCTATCATGTGGGTTATCGTTCGGCTGTGGTATTTTTTTATTAGGGTTGTTAGTGTGGTTGTGAATTGTTTGGTTAAATTGTGTAATGGATTTGGCGAAGGGTTGGTAGAGAGAGTGTGTATGTACAAAATGAAGAGAAAAGAACATGTGTTAGCTGTTTTCCTTTCGGGTTTGTCACCAAGTGGTGGAAAGAGTATGCTGGTTTCTTTCTATCCTGGTGGTGCCAATCAATAGTTCAGAAAGACTACATATAATGAGCGATATATTATTTTTTGGTTTGGGTGGAACAAAAAGAATCAGTGTACAACAAAAATAGTCACATAACATGTAACATATTGAACGGTTAAACTAGACTGTAATAAAGGTATCGGTTGTAACCAGTTTATAAGTATATGAGATTATACAACAAGGTAGAAAAGAAAACAAAACAAAACAAAGATAAAAGGAAAGGCTAAAGTTCTGAAGAACACGAGAAGAGGCATGCGGAACTGGGAAGCGCACTACTTACGATGGCGGCGGGCTGGGAAGAGGTACTTGGTGAATTTTCCACGTCGCTTCCGAGAGCGAGTGTTCGTCCGCTGCGTAGCATCTCCAGAGCGATTGGATCAGCGTGGCAGCTGGCTGACGGCGTCGGATCATGTGCTTCTGCCGTTGCTGTTGTTGTACTTTCAAGGCGAACCCGCTACCGAGAATGCCCTACAGGAGAAAAAGAAAACGAAACATGAACAACGGGCAGTGGTGATGGTGCACGAGGCTTGTGACACAAGGATCTTGCCAGACAATTGTTGCGCTGAAAAGAGTCAAATCTCGATTACTTTTTCAGAGGGACGTATTTACTTTGGTAAACAAAGAATCGAACGTCAATTTGTCGGAACTCCAAGCGCTCCCTCACAAACGAACACCACCATCAGAAAGGGTAATGTTTCCCCAATAAGCTTTGACAAATTGACAATACTAGATACGTACTTTTGAAAAAGTAATCGAGAAATGTTGAACCAAGAGCTAATGTCACGGTAACGACCGGCGTGGTAGAAGGTCAGTTTGCTGAGGGCGATATTTAGTGACAATATTTCCTTTTATCGTGAGAATACGTTCAGAGCCGTGCTTGGCTAGAAGAACTATGTTTGCAGAATCTCTTGAAGGAGCGCCAGTCCCTTGAGTCATTTAAATACTAATAAAGTATTCCAACTCTGGATCAGCCTTCTGTCAACACCCGCAGATAGGGTTGATATCCACAAGTACCCTCTTCAAGTTGCAACTCAGAAAACCATAATGAAATTCGTGAAAAGCTCTTTAAAAGAATAATTTTATGATATGAACGTGCTTTCTCCGAACACTTTTTTCCCTGGCTGCTGCTGACAGGCTCCGTCTCGTGACCCAACACGGGAAAGTGCGAAAAAATAGCTTAAATTTTACAACCTCCCCTGAAGCAAGGGTAAGAGTTAAGGGCCACTCGCTCCCGGGTAAGAAGTAAACTCTACACGCTCCCGAGTGTATAATCTGTTCTGAGAGCAACGGCTGTTTCGTCCGACGACTTGTTGGAGCAGCATCTCCCGTCGTATCCAAGCTCAACTTTGGCTTAGCCTGGACTGTCGTCGTTTGCATGAGTTCAGAAAAAAAAACACCTAAACTCCCAGCTAGCTGACTGAAAACTTGAATCCTTCCGTTGCATACCAGTGGGGACGCTCGAGATGTTGCTTTTTATTGTTTAGGACAGCATGATGCTGACGATTAACACACTACTGCTACTACTACTACAACTGTTATGTGGGGTTGGGGAGGCAGAAGCTTCAGGAATGAGAAGTTTCGAGCAAATTTTAACTTGTGCAGGAAAGTTTGGATTGCGCAGCTGGAATTTCTCACTTGCAAGCATGCTTTCAAGTTGTTCTTATCAAATTGTTAGTTCTTCGTAAGTTTCGAGCTGCCGTAAAGGCTGGGTTGTTCAACGTTTCACATTTACGCCCAAATGGCAGGGGGGCTTGTTTTGTTTAGATACATTTTCGCTGCACGGTACGCTTATGAAGAGTCAAAAAGCAGTCTCAAGTAATCTCACAGGAAGCAAAGTGCGTAGCCAGGTTTCGACAAAGAGGGAGCAACATTACGAATGTCTTATCTCAAAGAAGAGCAGCTTTCAACAAATCAGACAAATAAATCAGACGTCACCAATGCTGGTACGAGTATCAGTACTGGCTTACTACAGCACATTTTCAAATTTAACATTTTTAACTAACTAAATTGTTGCGGGGGAAAAATGCCGTGATATTTCTAAACTGGGTTTTGCCGGCTACACTGTATTTTAGCACACAACAGAAGACGAGACTCAGCAGCGCGACGGGACAGTTTTGTATTGTTTGGAGTTTTGCTATTTTCTGAATAATTACCGCATATATTTAAAGTTTATAGTATGGAATAATAGGATAAAAATAAATACTAACCACTTCAATGCATACATAGTAAAGTTTTGCAAAACTGAGTGATCCATCCAGTGTTATGTTTTCCGTCATACACAAGCTTGCATCAGTTCTGTGATTGTCATCAAATGCAAGCGACAACGTTTCATATTCTGTGCTTTTACAAGCGATCATTTAAAAATGTCCCTGTACACCAGATATGATGTTTAATAAGAGACGCGCGGAGAGAATACAAGTAAATCTGGTTGCACGGCCAACTAAGTTCTTGTGTCTGCATGATTTGGCAACCCACATTTTTGGGTGACTTTTAATTTTAGCGACTGTCGTCTAGGTAAAACGAATACTGTTTTGACCGTATCGGTAATTATTTGAAAAATTCCATAGAAATGGCATCCTTTTGATGAATAGAAACACCTAAAAAGTAGAAGGATCTGTGCCTACAGGCACGAACGGAAGCTTGACGTAGGACCGCTAGTGGACGGAACAAATGTGAAGAGCATTTAATTCTTTTAATTGATCGATCCTCAATTATCTTAACTCTTTCCGGTTTTGAATTGTAGGCGTACCAAATTTGTAGTAATTTTTGTCAAAAAGAAAGTTGATGAAGAGAATCGATCAAAATCACTTGCACCTCTGCTTTCAAGTTTGATTACAAGAACTCTGGAGAGCATTTTGTTTGGTCGTTGGGGGCGTGTGGTTCTGAATATAGACAAACAGGCACAGATAAATTCTTTTCCAACTCTTTACTATAATAAGCTTGTTGGCCCTGAAAAGGGCCGTGTTGTTGCCAAAGTTGGTGATGATTTAACCTCCGAAACCGTACAGAGTGCGTCTGTCGCTTCAAAGCGTGGACGACATCGATGGCCGCTTACGCTTGGCATGTTCAGAGTAGGTGACAGAATCATGGATCTCATTTTCCAGGAACACCTTCAGCACACCTCGTAGATCAGACCGAAGATACGTTTGCCATCGCCACGGTGAACCAGACGAAGGATGGCGGTTATCACGAAGAACCTTGCGATGACACTTGGCGCCTTCTTTGCCAAGACCTTTTCTTCCTTTGCCACGACCAGTCATTGTTGCTTGTTGGGTAGAATAGTGGACTACCTACTGCTGCTATTGCTGCTTCTGCTGTCTGCACACCACGCCGTCCGAAGCGAAAATGAGTTGAGGCTTTTTGACTTTAAATGATCTATATTTCTTGAATTTGTGTGGTTTACATGTATGAATTTTCAAGTGACACAGATGCGTCTTTTCAACTTTAGTACATTTGAGATTTTAATTATTATTTACACTTACACTACAACTAACCTACAACTACTATATACACCTAATCTACTATATACAAATTGCGGATCAAAGCATATTCTGATAAAATACATTTTTGTGCAAATGTAGTGTTAATTTCGTTAATTTTGGAATCTAGTGTCGAAAGGACGATCAAGAACCATCCTCAGCACTCTGTTCTGAGTGACCTGAATTTTGTTCCTGTGAGTCTGTGCACATGATTCCCACACCGGAGTTGCGTAGAGGATCGCAGGTGCTATGATTTGTTTGTAGACAGCCAGATTGTTCACCCTTCGGGATCTGAGGCTAATCAGCGGATACAGACACCTAACCAAGGCAGAACACTTGACTACAGTTTTCTCTACATGCGAACGTAAGAGGAGCTTTTCATCGAACAACATCCCGAGATAGGTTACTTCGGCAGACCACTCAACCCTTGTGCCATCCATGATTACAGTACAAGAAGGAGCCGGTTTTAGTTTGGGCGATTGCCGATGATTGTTTGTGTTTTGGAGGCATTGATTTTAATTTTCCATGTGGTGGCATAATCAACAAAGGCGTTAAGGCATCGTTGAAGTTTGTTTGTTATTTCTCGAGGTATCCTTCCTTTGACGGCTATTGCGGTATCATCTGCGAACAGGAAAAACGATACCTTAAACGACCTTTGCTGGAGGTAGTTACGGGTGATTTTAACCAGATGTAATGGGAAGTTGAAGTTACAAAGCTTGTACACAAGTCCGTCATGCCAAACATTGTCAAACGCCTTTTCAACGTCTAACAAGGCCATGGCTGTGGACTTGGATACAGCTTTGTTACTTCGGATATTATTCATCACCCGTACTAGCTGGTGATTGGTGGAGTGGCCCTTTCTGAATCCAAACTGTTCCGGAAGGAGAATGTTATTTTCCTCGACAAACTTGAGCAAACGATTGAGAATGAGTTTCTCGAACAATTTGCTCAGCGCTTAAAGGAGGCTGATTGGTCTGTAGCTTGAAGGCAATGTTGGATCCTTTCCGGGTTTGCGGATTGGTATGATTTTTGCTACCTTCCAGATGCTTGGAAAGTAGTGCAGTTCCAAACATCTGTTGTAGATAGCGGTTAGAAGAGACTGCAGTTTTATGCCGAGTCTCTTCAAGATCAAGTTGAATATACCGTCAAACCCGGGAGCCTTCATGTTCTTGGTGCATTTCAGCGCTGAGCAAATCTGTTGTACTGTAATTATATCCGCCGGAGGTACGACACAAGGGGAGGCATCTAGGTTTTGAACGCATTGCGCAACCTGATCTTCGAGCGGACTTTGGATATTCGAGCCAAGCAAATGCGATAAAGCGACATGCTCGCCGATCGCATTTGCTTTCTCATGTGGGGTGATCGCCATCATTTTCGACTCTGAGAGGTGAAACTGGTTTGGGATGAGTTTTGAGGACGTTGGATATTTTCCAGAATGGTCTGGAGTGGTCGTCCAGATTTTGGACAACACGCCGGAAACTTTCATTTCGGAGTGAGTCCATTCTGGAAGCAATCTGCCTGTTCAGATCGGCCATTTCACGTTTTTTGCCCAGATCTCCTGTAAGCTTTGGCCAGCAGAATCACCGGAAGTTGCTTGAGCGGAATGCACCCGCGAATTCGCTTGCCTTTGCTGAGGAGCACGAAGAGGCGGGAAATCCTACGTCCGAAATGCCGGAACTTTGTCCTTCTTGCGTCCTGGTTGGTTGTTAGTTGCCGCCTGTTTTCGGATGCGTTTGAAGTCCTCGCGTTTGGAACATCTGTCTGTCGGAACCTTGATGAGCACCACCACATTTGGCGCATTTTAACGCCACGGCTCCATCCACAGGGTAGTTGGAAGTGGCGTGTTTTTGAGCGCAGTTGCTACAGCGTGGCTTAATGTTGCAGATGCGAGTGCCGTGTCCAAAGTTCAGACATTGTTGGCACATGGTCACATCGCGATGGCCTCCACGGTATGGCTCCCATCGTACGATTATGGAGTAGATTGAGCGG